TTTAAATGCTTACTTGAAACTAGCCACTTGATAGGTTGTGGCAATTTAAAAAAAAAAAAAAAGAAAAAAAAGAAAGAAAAGTTCTGTGTCCCTATAACCAAACAACAGGTAAACGAAACTAAAAAAGGGGATATTTTATCATCACAGATCTCCACAGCTATCCTCCTTTGTTTAACAGACTTGACAGAAACAACACATGCCACAGAATAATTTTCAGGTATATACTAGACTCTAGACCACCAGCTATTTACAACAAATCTGCTGATCAAATATTTACCTCTCATTCTTGAAAAAAATCTGAAAAGAACTCAATGGACTTCCAGTAATCAATATGCATTACTTTCTCTGCTCTTAAACAAGGGAGGTAACTACAGCAACATTTGCCCTTAAGCATCAATGAAACAACAGAGAAGACAGTCCTAGTTTTGATCTGCTGACGAAATTATAAGCAAGAATGAGCTATAAGTGGCCATCTCATTTGGAAGAAAGTGATACAGATTTATCTGGGTTTTTTTTTTTAATTTTGCAGTGAGCTTGTTGTTTAACTCCTTTTTTACTTTACACATCAACTTTTCCAAACTGATGAGATTCAAGCAGTCAAAATACAGGGAACTTACTTCTACCATCAAATGGAGAGGGAATTAAGCTGGCTACTCTTTCATTTGAAGTTTTTGATGAAGCTTTGCTTTCTGCAGAAGTATCTTCCTGTAAAATAGACAGTCAGGTATTGTAAAAGCAGGATTAAAACCACACTGACCTAAATAGAGCTAAGCATAAAACCTTACATAAACTAAAAAATCCTCAACCCGTGCACAGATAAAGGTGAAGGGAATTTTGTAGCCTGACTTTTTTTTGTTGCTTTTCTTAGTGGAACCATCATTTTAACCCTATAGCATTAGAAAATATAAGCAGATGCTTCTCCACTGCTGTACAAGCAAGACGAACCCATCTTACATTTTACAAAAGCATCCAATGATTCTAAGAACAAACAAGAAAATGTTTTACATGTTCCAAGAACATTGAAAACAAAGTCCATCATCAGCCTCAAACTAGCAATGAAAAAGGAAAGTCAAGTGACAGCAGAAAGCTCCTTCTTTCATCACAGGCAGGTTTCCACTCAGAGGCACTGGAAACATTACACTGTTTGGATCCTTCAAAATTATTCATCTTTAATCACTGTTGAAAACTCTGATTCAATGTGACATACTGCTGAATGTGTCAGTATTGTATTTACTAACAAATAGGGAACTAAGGAAATCAAGAAAAAGAATAAAGTTAAATGCTTACATCTTAACAATATTTTTTGCTCCTCCTGGAATTCTGAATTTTTATCCTTTAGCTTAAAGCAATTAAGTACAATATTCCAGACCTTTTTTTTTTTTAAAATCTGTTAAAACTATTGGATAAGTGACTGCTTGCCTATTATTTCCAGGCAAGAGAAAAAATAAGAAGCTGTTAAGAAACGTCAAGAATATATGTGCTCTGTATAGGCAAGCTAGAAGTCTAGAGCACAGCAGTATCAACCTAAATGCTAACAGTACTTGGCTTTCCCCTATCTACTGGCAGCACAGACAAGGAAAGAATAGCGTGAAAGCGTAAAAGAGGAGCAACCATCTACAAAAAGAACAACAAAATCTCTAGCTCTGAAACCCCTTGCTTGCAAGGTACAGGTTTTAAACTACCATACTGAGTGCAAAACACTTGCATTCAGAAATGCTTGAACTTTAGTCAAGTTCTATTTTTATGAGTTCTACAACATGAAAGCATCAGCTAACCTCTGTGTTCAACAAAAGAGACATCTGTGGTTGACTAAGGCACGTAATGTTACTTTCTGCTGAACATACTGGTCCACTTTTATGCTGCACATTCAATACCTCACTGCTTCCCAAACTCTGTGACTTGTGAAAATCCAGAACGGTAGCTTCAAATGCAGGTACAGGCAGAGACTCTGTTTTTGGAGTATGACTTGATTTCTTGTTTGTAGTTTTATTGAACCTGTCTGAATAAAGCACATAAAGTCTAAATTAAACAAACTTGCTTGTGATCATTTCTAGATGTTTTATAGTACACTAGTTAACCACAGTAATCGTCACAAGAACTATTGCTACGCATAGCTCATATTAAAAAACAACCTAGCAATTATAACCATTGTGTATACACAACGTTGACTCAACAAGCAACTGTAAATTTAGATGCTTGCTTAGGAGAATTTTCATTATTAGTTTACATGAATTTGTTCAATTAGCAAAAACATGTAAGTCACCGTCCCTTGTCAAAAAGTCACACAGGAAAAATCCTATGCCTTAATTATTCTAGATTTTGAAACATGGTCACAAACAGGAGGCTATGGCACAGTCAACCATTTTACATCTATCCAATGTATTTCTAACCAAACACCACATTTGTACCTGGCTTCACGGCATCTGTGCTGCACGTGGAGGTCTGGAACGAAGTCCTGTTCACAGTTCTGACAGAAGAGTCATCTTCGTCATGCCTTTTCTTGTCTAATTTTTTCTCACCCTCTTTTGATCTCCTCTGCTGCAAGTATTTTTTATGCGTTATTTAGTTGGTTTTACTTGAACTTTGAAAAGTCATCAAGTTTGCCTTAACTTGAGCTACAGTCAACTACCTCTGCATCTGGAGCTTGACCATCAAGTTAATACAATATGAATAGTTAGCATACCATTACCATAAATAACCAATAAAATCAGAAACAGCCAGTTAAGAGATTTGTTATTTAATTTTATCTACCTTGTTAACCGTGCCATTTTTAGCACATATTATAGCCCAAGCAAGAGGGATTATTCCATATGTTTCTAGATAACTGTAAAGATCTCATTAATCAGAGCATTTCCAATAGTTTAAAATTGTTTGGTCTTAAATCATCCAGTTGGATTTTCTAAAACTGAGTTTCTTCTAGAATAAGGCTAAAATCTTAAAAGCATTCCAATCTTTTGACTAAACTATGTATTGTGGGCAAAACAAGGCAAGACTGATGTCACAACATCCAAACCACTTGGAGCAGACAGAAAATAATTAGAAAATATATGTGTATATGTGTAAAGGAAAGGAAACACATTCCCCTACAAAGTCTGGAAAGGCTTGGATTGTCGCAAGGAACAAAATCTATGCAAAGTACACTGTATCAACCTAGACGAGTGACTTTACTCTTTCTGATTACAGGATGCTGAACTAAATTCAAAGTACATCTGGCAGCAACATTATTTTCTTGGGTAGGAGGACAAGGCATTTCCTGACCTCCAAAGCTACTTAGTTAAAGCTTTAGGA